ATTGTAGGTTTCTATTTTACCCCACAAGCCAGAAACTTCTATGTTAACAGTTTTAATTAAAGTCCCTTTTGAATTATCCAAGACTAGTTACTCGCCCCGGCTTCGCTCGGGTGTACGTATTATATATATAAATGCTGGTTTCAATACTATAGTTGGCGCTTCACGTGGGTCGAAATCTAATTTAAAAAATGACCATTAAAAATGCTACTCCATTTAATGAAACTTACTTCATATTTAGAACCAGCTGTATACCGTGTGCTACGGAAGCCGGAACGGAAGCAGAAGTGAATAATGTGCTTGCTACGAGCATGTTTATTCTTGCCCCTTTTTTTAATTTGGTTTGAAAACCATGTTTTCATGCGAAGAATAACATACTGTTAATAATATGAGCGCGTTCTGGTAAATGCTCCTTGTTTCGCTGAGGTATATCTCCTTTCCCATGCCATGCGACCTTTCCTTCCTTTCCTTTTTATATAGAGTTTTGGCATATGCCATGGGGAATTTTGCATAATCCGGTGCTTTATATAAACGACTGGCTTCTCCAGCCGCAACATCAGTCGCCTCATTACCAGTAATACCAACATGGCTCTTGACCCACACAATGTCTATGGTATCATATGTTGAAGTGATTGATGTATGGACGAGTGTTACTACGATTTTGAATGGCTTTAATAGAAGAGTGAGTCTGAATAGATGACAGTGTGCGCGTACTTATGAGCAGAAGGCCATTCGTAAGCAACTCTATTGCTAGCAACTCAGCCTGATAAACGCTGCAACTGGAGTGCAGCTTGAATTTTTTTCATACAACAGCTGTTGCAGCATCTGGATTGCAAGAAACAAATGCAGCTCCAACTTCACCAGTTTCCTGCTTACTGCCATCAGTGAATATAGCTGATATCTGTATACATTGATATTGACATCTGATTTGCCTGTTGCATGTCAGAAATGATAAAATGTGTGAAACTAATTCTAAACAGCTTAAAAACCACATATGTAACACATTTTAAGCAATAAATATTAATTTCATTTCATCTCATTTCAAAATGTAAATAAATAAAAGACAATGTGATCTAGGAGTTTAGCTGTCTGATGGAAATTCAGCTTTAAAGTTTCAATTTGTTAAAATTTGTTTTACCGTACGATGATGCATAAAATTGTTTTTTTAACATTTACAAACAACAAAGAAATCGTCATTTGAAGTTTGTCAGTGATCCGCTTATATGTATTGTGCAAATGATTTTTAAGGAGGCACGGATAATGATTATAGGGACTAGTGGTTAGAAATGTAGGTATACTCAAAAAGGTCATAAGTTCGATACTAACCAACATATGATATCATTTCAATCGCGTAATTTATATTTTTTACTAATTCTCACATAACAAAAATACTCAGACAATAACAAACAAAACAATCGAGATACAATGTTATATTTTGACCCCCTGCCACTTTAAATTCACATTTGATGAATTTTTAATTTGTTATTGGTATTTATTATTCGCCAGAGAGTCAGTAAGCAATAAATCATTTGGCATATAAAATGTGGGCCAGCTTTGAACTTACTACCTCGGACTTAGCAGTACAAAATAAATCACCACCCGAGCATGATGCTCTTGAAAACAATTATACCTTTTTAGTATACTTCACTAACCGTTTCCCGTAAGTTTGTCTGCATTTTTAAAATAATATATAGCCTATGCTCATCCTTGTGATAGAATATATATATATATATATATTAATCCATTAAATCATTTAGATGTGATAAAGTAACTAACATATGGACAGATTTTCAAAAACTTTACTAGCTGACCCGCGCATCTTTGACATTTGACATTGGAGTGCGTAGCGATTTCTATGTTGATTATCGCATGCCTCTTACTTGTTATACTGTAATTATTATATAAAAACATCTATTCAAAAGAGTAACATACAAGTTTCTTGCTTATTCAACTTGTGATGAATCTGCATTCCGAATGAGTGATAGAATCAAAATATGACTATTTAATATGCTTGTAATGAGTTTATTTGAATAATGATTATTTCTATTTCTATTTATTCCGCCTAATTTACATAATACCATTTTAAATTATAGTTTAATAAGCTTACTTATATTACTGTAAAGTTTCATCAAAATCCGTTCAGTAGTTATTACGTGAACGAGTAACAAAATCCATCTATCCATAATTCATCTAATCCTTGTTGTTAATTAAATATAATTAAATCAATATTTATTTAAAAGAGCAACAAACAAGCTTCTTGCTTATTCTTCTTGTGATGAATCTGCATTCCGAATAAGAGGTAGAATAAAAAAACTTGACTATTCAAAAGTGCTTATATTAAGTTTATTTGAATAAAGATAATTCTATTTCTATTTCCATACTAACAAACTTTTGCATTTATAATGCAAGTAAGATTTATTAATATAAAATTAAATATTTATTACCATAAAAAATTTTAATACGCAATTTTACATTTAAAAAATGTTACAGGTACCGGACATTATACGGACGGTAAGCTATGACCTGACAAATATTGATGGCGTCAACACAACCTCGATATCTGGTCAGTTGACCGACCCGCTAAATTTGTTTTACGACCACATTAACATTTATCTCACACGACTTACGGTTCAATATCGCGGATTTTATTACCCCATGAGAGTATTGTCGTGCATCCATGTCACATTCTTGCCAATATGTACTCTAAGTGTTAAATTTTAAGGTTCGTATTCGATTGAATTTGAAATAAAATCAACCCTCAATCGCCCGAAGGCATCGCTGGATATTGCTTCGGCCGTTTTAGAGTACGATTTTCGTATCTAGTGTTGCCAGATGGTAATTTTATGTTTTCATAAATTTTGCCCATAATGGCCTTAAAATCCAAATTTTCAAAACTGGAAAGAGTCTGTACTAGTAGTGCCCATTTTCAAAAGTGTGTTAAAATTGTTTAGTTGTAACTAATCACTGGTGTTCTTACGTATTTTAGTAAGCGCCACTACACATCCAATGTGGATGTAGCCCACTCACGCATAAACGTAATATCTCCTTTGGAAAGTCTACACTCTATCCTGAGGAGATAAAAACCATCGCTCCTAAGAATATCCCTCTTGTTCTTGTCCCTGACGGGTATAGGTAGCGAACTCTGAAAAAGGGCCAGTACTATGTAAGTAGTAGTGCTACTGGTCAAGTACAGTAAAGAGAGTCAATAAATTCTATTCTATTCATCAATTCTAATTACGTAAACATATATTTCAATGTAGTTTCAAGCCAAGAAACACTGACAAGAAACTCAAGTACTGACATTTTTCAATCTGATATTGTTTGGGAAACTACTCTGCTACCAAAATATTAGGGAATTTACTCTCTGTATATATATAGTGAAAAATGAGTGGAAGCGTCAGTCACGTACCTGTATGGTTCTGCGGATTTCTTGGGCTTCAGGGTCTCGAAGATATCTTCGCTAGCTTTCCAGTTTCACAGTAGGTTTCACAGTTCTAATTTATTTTAATTCACACCACAATGCGCGCGCGTCATGGCCGCCGTACAGTCGGTTCAGTACTAGGTAAGGGAGGGGAAGTAAAAGCGCGGGAACAGAAAACTAACGGAGTCTAATATAATAATCTGTGCTTACGATGATACAGGGTAGATTTTGAACAGATATATATATATATATATAATTATAGGAGGCAGGGCACCTGCACATTGGACTGATCCTGTACGAGAAGCAGTCAAACAAAATATACAGTCGGCGGTCCATTTAGCACAAGATAGAAATGCCTGGAGAGTATTGGTTGGAAGGAGCATTCCTGGTGATCACGACCCTCAGTCTTGAGGAACCGACAAAGAAGACAAAGAAGAATATAATTATAACATCATCATCATCTGCTTCTTCCTTATCCCATTCATTTGACATCGGCGTTATGTCTCAAATTCATATTACGAGAGAATTTTGTTTTAGCTTCAGTTTTTATAGCCACGTTCCTAACGAAAGGCATAAATTATAACAAGATTATTTTCTTCTATGCTAATTCAATTCAAATTCAAAATATCTTTATTCATGTAGGTCTATTACATACTCTTAAGATATGTCATATCTACGTTAATTCGGAATAATTTCGAGATGAGAACTGACAAGAAACTCAGCTCGTATTATTTTCAAATAAATGTTGTACATGTTTACAATGATACAGATTCATTTTTTAATTCAAACTTGGAAGAATAGAGTGACCACTAACATATGCTATTACAAAAGCAAATAGTCTAATCAGTGTTCGTAACCTAAACAGACCAGTCCCCACAACAACAATTGTTTACGCCTATTACTCACCAAACGATTACTTGAATGACGAGTGTGCATGGCAATAGTTGTTCATGCACTGAATTTTCATTTAATGTTAGACATAGACACCTATATAAAAATACATTGTAAATAAACTGGCTTTAAAAAAAAAAAACTAATTCAATTGAGTTTCTTGCCAGTTCTTCTCAATTGGATCTATATACCGAACTGGACGGTAGGGAAAAAATTAAATTATAATGTAAAAATTTGACGTTCATAAGCGGCTAAAATGTCCTACATGAATAAATGATTTTTGAATTTTGTTTACCATCATCACAAAATCCTCGTTTTTTTCTTCCTCACTGACACCCCTAAACATTTGTTCTACCCTAATTTGCCTCAACCATCACAGAATTTTCCAAATTTAGTGGAAAACCCGCAAACTTGCAACACTATCCGTATCACATCGTGAATGATGGAATTGTATTTGTTTGGTCTGTACGCCTGTTACTGGAGCGGGAACACAACTACTATTTTAATAAAAACCAAAATATTAGCAAAAATGTGTATTCTTCCCAAAAGGGCTCACAGCAAGAAGTAACAAAACAATATATAGAAAAGTCAAAAGTGACGTATAAAAATAGATATAAAAATATAAAGTTTATAAAAAGAATGATAGACAAGCTGCCAGTAACATCCCACCCTCCTGTGACATAGTCACATCCTACTGAAAATCTACTGGCAACTTGACCAGCCTTTTCAGTGGCCGTCGGAGTATGCCTCCAGAGGTGCTTACCTCCGCTACCCTAACTATACCATCACGGCCCGGAAATACGGTGGCTATCCGACCTAAAGGCCACGTACCTCGTGGTAGCGAAGGGTCCACAATAAGGACCATATCTCCTACGGTCACTGTTTGTTCGCGGTTTTGGCCAGGGGATCTTCTCGGAATCAGTGTTGGTAAATACTCCTTAACCCAGCGAGACCAAAACATGTCGGCTAAACATTGAGCCTTCCGCCAATCACTTCTTCCGAGAAAATCACTCTCATCCAAAATAACCGGAACCGGGTGATATGGAGATGATTCACCTAAAATGAAGTGGAATGGTGTGAGAGCGGGTGAAGAGGGATCTAAAGGAACGTGAGTGAGAGGCCGGCTGTTTACTAACGCTTCAACTTCAATTAAGGCTGTATGAAGCACTTCATCTCTGGGAGCACGATCACGCAGAATAACTTTCAACGCTGTCTTTACAGACCGCACTAGACGCTCCCAGGCGCCTCCCATATGAGGAGCTGCAGGTGGAATAAAAGACCATGTTATCCCTGTATTAGCTCCTTCTTCGCTCATCGCTTTTAGTATGTTGTTAGAGCCAACGAATGCCGTTCCGTTGTCCGAATATATCTTATCTGGGGTCCCTCTTCTGCTTATAAAACGCTTAAGACACATAAGGGCGCTGTCGGTGGATAGAGAAGCTGCGACCTCTAAATGAATGGCCCTTGACGTTAAGCAGGTGAACAAGGCAACGTATCTCTTCTCCTTTCTTCTTCCGACTGTCACCAACATCGGTCCCATATAATCCAATCCAATGAAAGTAAATGGACGACGATGATGGGCTAATCTCTCCGCTGGTAGGTCGCCCATAGGCGGATTTAAAGGTTTAGACTTCAGAAGAATACATCTCGGACATCGATGGACAATGGCACGAAGAGAACTCCTTAGATGAAGTATCCAGTATCTTTGTTGCAATTCATTGATGACGAGATTTGGTTGGGCATGAGCAGCTCGACAATGGTAAAATGAAATCAAAAGACGTACGGTGTAGTTACGACCATCGAGAATGTAAGGCCACTTTGTAGAATCTGGAATATCAGAAGCTCCGACTCTGCCTTGTAAACGGATGACACCCCGCGGATCTAAAAATGGGGATAATCTTCTTAAACGGCTATGAGCCTTGAGGGGAACTTGCCTTTTCAGTGCTTCTAGCTCTTCAGGAAAGGATTCCATTTGACTCTTACGCAATATATCTTCTTCAGCCTTGGCCAAATCTTCTGCAGATAATGGTATCAATGAAAGACAAGATGATGACGATGATGATACTACCTGAGATGATGATGATAAATTTCGTCGTAAAACACGTGCCAAAGAACGAGAACGAATTTTTGAATTTAGAATCGCGATATATTTATGTACGCGAGCAGTAACACGCACCAATCGCAACCAACTGGAGAACCGCGATGCCTCTGCCACTATTGGTAACGGAGCCTGATATAGAGAAGATTCTATCTCCGTGGCATGAGAGTTTACAACGTCTCTCCTATACTCTTTTAAGCAGTCGTTGCTTAATTTAGATGATATTTCTAAAGGCCACATATCTGATGTTAAATATAGAAAAGATGGCCCTGAGAACCAAAATGAAGGGATCCCATCGTTTGCACGAGTAGCGCTGTCAGCAGGATTCAAGTGAGTTGGAACCCAGCGCCACTCAGAAACATCGGTTTCTTCCGAAATTTCGCCAACACGATTGGCCACAAAAGTCTTTAAGTCTCGAGCTTCAGTCCGCAACCACCCTAAAACATTTTTGGAGTCTGTCCAAAAGAAACGTTGAGATGGTTTTATTGTATGTTCTTTTAAAATGGTGACTGACAAACGAGTAGCTAATAGTGCTGCCTGAAGCTCTAGACGAGGGATGGACACCGGTTTATTAGGGGTTACACGCGCCTTACTAGCTATTAAGACTACATGAACCTTGTTGTCAACGCTAATGAAACGCCAGTATGCTACACAAGCGTAGGCAGATTCACTAGCATCGGCAAAGACATGTAATTCAACACTCTTTTCATTAAACTGGTCAAAGAGATACCAACGAGGAATACTTAAATTTAGAGCATTATTTAAACTATTGAACCACGTTTGCCAAACTTTAGACTGAGTATGATCTAGTGGATCATCCCAATTCATATTAGTACGCCAAATCTTTTGAATTAATATTCTACCATGAATTGTTATTGGGGAGAGAATACCTAGCGGATCATATAATCGCATAACATGGGACAACAGTGTACGTTTAGTAAAAACAGACGGAACCTCTAATAAAGACTCAACACGAAAACTTAGAATATCTTTATGTGGGTTCCACGTTAAACCTAACGTGCGAATATTGGAGTCTAATGGAGTACATACTTGGATGTCAGTCAAAGGCGTCGCCTGCAAATCGGGTGAAATTAATCGTAATGCTTCAGAATAATTAGAAACCCAACCACGAATTTCAAACTGTGCTAATTTATGTAGAGAGACAATATCAGATGCAAGTTGTGCTGCCTGATCTACATTAGGTACGCTCCCGACATAATCATCCATGTATGTGTTTTCAAGTACCTCTCGCGATGCCTGTGGGAAGGAATCTGCTTGCTCTTTCGCATTTTTATTTAAAAGATATATAGCTGTACATGGGCTTGAAGCGGCACCGAAAATCATAGAAGACATCCTGTATTCTTTAAGATGTGATTTAGGATTGTCGCGCCATAGGAAGCGTTGCATGTTCCTATCAATCTCTCTTATTTTTATTTGAGGAAACATTTCCTTTATATCGGCCAATAGTGCGACACGACCTTCCCTCCATCTAAAAAGAATACCTAACAATGAGCGTAATAGATTTGGGCCAGTTAATAGTAGAGAATTAAGACTGACACTTTCAGTTTTAGCAGATGCATCATGAACAACGCGCAGTTTCTTTTTTTGGGGATGCATAACACCAAAATGGGGAAGATACCAAAATTTTACACCAGATGTTACTAAACTATTGTGTTGTTGTGAACATTCTTCAGCGTACCCTTTCTCAATTAAACTATTTATAAACTGTCGATATGACTGACCGTAATCCCTATCTTTAACAAGTTTACGCTCTAAAGATATAAATCGTCTATAGGCTTGCGGATAACTGTCAGGTATGTCGGAATTATCTCCCTTCCACAGTAAACCAGTCTCAAATCTGCCGTCTGGGAACCTACGAGTAGTAGCCTCTAAAATTTGAACAGCGCGATCATGAAGGGGACCGAATGAATGAGGGTGTTTCGATACACCAAGTGCCTCTAATCTAAACTGGTCCCTAATCAGTACGTCCAGAGAACTGAGAGTAGGTTCTTCATCAGCAACACTAGCATGGTTAATAAATTCGACTGGTTTCGTTTTACTGCTAGAAACACCATGTAACACCCAACCCAAACTAGTAAGTGTCGCAACAGGTTGTGAACGTGTTCCCGACCTAATACCACGTGACACAGTAAGGTGCCAATTTTCAGCACCAATTAATATAGTTGGTGTTCCATCATATACCAGTTCTTGAGATATATCTAACAAATAATCATATTTACTAATATCAGAATAACGAATGTTTTGTGATGTTAAATTTAAATTTTCCATAGACCTAGCATTTTGAATAGTGAAAATGTCCGATCTGAATTTTCCGCGTATTTTAAAATCTACATATTCAACTTCGTCCTCTCGAACCATACCGCCAACACCCTGTACACGAATATGCCCCTTAGGTCCACTGACACCTATCCGTTTAGAAATACAGGCATCTATAAGAGTAGCAGTCGAACCATCATCTAATAAAGCCAAAGTTTCGATACTGCCTAATGGCCCTTGGACTACTACCGGAATCATTTTAAGTAAGGCACTATTTGTGTACCCAGTTGTACTACTGAAATCACGATTTGTATATGTACAATTATTTTCTAATTTTAAACTTTTTGGTTGAGAATTTAAAGAATTAATCGGTATAGGTACGGAACTATTTGGTTCGGTAATTTCGTTTGCAACTGTGACACATGTAGGTGAAAATTTATTTGACGTTGCTGTCATAATGGCACCGTGAAGTAAATAATTATGGTATGACTTACAACCATCAATATTACATCGCTTTTTTGAATAACAATTACGCCAATTATGTTTTTTATCACCGAAACATTTGAAACAAAGTCGAGATTTTGTGACAAAATCAAATCTCTCGGCGACGGAAAGGTTTTTGAATTTTGTACAGTCTGTTATGATGTGTTTTGAAGAACAAAATATACATGAATCAGTCGAATGAAAATTTGTGTTATTGCAGGATTCAATACGTTTTGGATGTTTAAATGGTTCAGTAGATTTTGAGAGTGAATATTGAGGAAGTATTCCGAATTTTCTATGATTACTGGCTTCCTCGGAAAGAAACTTAGATAATATTTCTAACTTTGTACCCTGGAATTGATGTGATGCTGCATAACCTGGCCAAATGTAACGCAAGAATGGTGTTAATTTAAATAAAATAGCATTGTAAATTTCTGTTGAATAAAGATAATGTTCTTGTTTAAGGTGTTTAATTGTGCAAATTGTATTTTGTATAGTGCAAGAAAATGAATTTAAATCTTTTAAATCTGTCTGTAACCTAGGTAGTGAGCGAATAATAGACAACTCTTCCATAACTATAGTCTCAGGAGTGGCAAACCGTTCCTCTAAAGCTAACATAATCTCTTCTGGGTCGTCACATAACAGTAGGCGAGCAGAAACTGCGCGCGCAGCCTCACCACGTAACATGTAACGAAGACGAGTAATATTTTCGTTTGCAGAATAATTATGTTTAGTATCATTATAGGCACGTTTAAAGGCAATCCACTCAGAAGCCCTACCGCTGAAAGGTAAAATATTAATGTTTTTGCTATGATATTTATTTCCTGTAGATAAATTTAATAAAATGTCACCCAAACGCTTTAAATCGGACTCGGTTGAAGTTTCCGGCTGTGTAACAATCTGTGTGGTCGGCGGCTGGCGACCATCATAATCACTCCGTAACTTCTGCTTGTCCTGTGGTATATTATATACTGAGGTTTGATTATCCATGGGAATTGTAGCGGGACCTGTACTAAGGGGACAATATGTTAATACATGTTGGCTAGGAATACTATTTATATCACCCTGAGTACGTTTATTTGAAATTGAATGTGTCGTATTTTCAATTGGTATCTGAGGTGGTAGTTCAGGTACGTCGAAGAACTTGTCGGGTAAACTTTGAACCCAAGAACAGGTCCTAGACCTTATTACGGAAGGATTAAAGCTATTCCTTGACTCCGATTCTATCTCAGCAATTTCTGCCTCTAACCTAGCTCTTTCGGCCTGTTCCTTCAATAAACTTAATTCTTTAGCCTGAGCGAGTCTTTGAGTTTCCAGTTCCTGGGCCGCCCGCTCGGCCTTTATTTCATACAAAGTCTGGGCATGCCGTGCCTGGGCTGCCAGACGTTTAGCTCTAGATGAGGACTGTGATACAGTTTCCTTTGAACCCGATGGTTCATGATGGTGAGCAATAGGGGCAGAGTTCTTTGAAATCGCCACTCGAACAACAGGGGCAGCGTCTTCGGACACCGCCGCTCGAGTAAATGGGGCAGTATTTCTATTTACTGCCGCTCTAGCCATCGATCTTGTTTCCATGACGGGAAAGGATAAGAAAAAATTAAAACAATACTTACTGGTAAATATGCGAAGGACCAATGTTACTGGAGCGGGAACACAACTACTATTTTAATAAAAACCAAAATATTAGCAAAAATGTGTATTCTTCCCAAAAGGGCTCACAGCAAGAAGTAACAAAACAATATATAGAAAAGTCAAAAGTGACGTATAAAAATAGATATAAAAATATAAAGTTTATAAAAAGAATGATAGACAAGCTGCCAGTAACAACGCCTATCTTGTGGCGTGGATATATGTATGTATGAATTTTTATCTAACGCATAACATTACTGATCCACGAATTTACAATGTTTCAAAACTGTATTGTAGTTGCCTTTACTATTTTCTCAATGACCTCGGTAGTACAGTGGTTTAGTACTCAGCCTATTTTCTGATGCTCGCGAGTTCAATATCCGGACAATATACTAATATTTGCATTTATGATATAGATGTATATATTTTAAAATGTATATACATATGTCATCTAGTTTCTGTATACTATAGGGTGCATTTTCACTTAGTCAACCTCGGTGGTACGGTTATAGCTATTTTATTTAATGTTGATAATATCATGGGTTTGATTTTCAGTTAGAAAATTCTGTTTGTCCTCGATTACATAAATATACTGGGAGATGACACACAAGATCTACCACGGGTTATTCTTATTTACCACCCCACTTTAAATTTAAATTTAATAATACTGTATATACTAGTACTTATTGTTAAACTAAATTACAGAAAAAGATTTGGAATATGGAGATATATATTAAGAAAGATTGTCTAGGCAATGAAGTATAAACAAGACTTTTTCTGTACGTTCTTTTTACCTATACACATCTATACATATAAATAAAATTGAAGTGTCTGTTTGTAATATTGAAATAACCATTTTTACTACATACGAATATAAATACGCTACATACACCAAAATAGCATTTTTTTACAATTTTTGTCTGTCTGTCTGATTGTCTGTTTGTTCCGGCTAATCTCTGAAACGGCTGGACCAATTTTGACGGGACTTTTTTTGACAGGTAGCTGATGTAATAAGCAGTAACTTTGGCTACTTTTATTTTAGAAAAATAAAGTTAAAATCCACGCGGACGAAGTCACGGGAACAGATAGTCTAAAATAAAACAACAACACTTACATAAAAGTATGTGAATATAATATTTTTATATATTTAGCAATTTAAACTTGAAACTTTAATAGTACTTTGAGATGTATATGATTATTTATATGTTATTATTGAAATTAGAATTAACAACCTAATGGTCAATAGGCGACAAGGTTACCACTAGGCCATTTAGGGTAGTAAATCACTAGATTAACTTCCCTAAATCACACCGAAGAGGTCATAAGTTCAAATCTGGTCGACAAAAAATAGAGTTAATGTGTTAATATATATTTGTAATCGGAATTGAAACTGATTGAAAACCCCGATGTAACTCGTTCCATGCTTTTGTTAGATTCAAAATACATCGACCTGCAAGTCGAATGTTGCGTTCACTACAACATGGACAGTTGACAATGACTGTCTACCCCATCTGTGATAACAATCGTAACGATATGTTTTTTTATGTATATTTTATTATAATTAAAATACACAATAAAAAAAACACTTGCAGACGCAGCAGAATTGATCCTGCCCGGAAGGAAGCAGTTGAGTTACTTACCTTTACCACAGATAACATAATATTACATACCTTTACCAATCAATTGAAACTGTTAACTAGCAACTGGACAATGTCAAAAATTAGGCAATAAAAACGTGACGTGCAGAAAGAAGAAAAGAAAGAACAACTAAAAATAACTTATACAAATCAATGCTTTTAATTTAAACACAGACACGAGCAAGCTTTTATACATAATATATTATCTATAAAAGCTGGCACGTGCCTGTCTTAATTATAATTATACGGAAAAGCTTATTGTATACGTCAATTGCAATTATTACGAAGTTGGTTAAAAGGTAGCCGATTTACGATAGTTTACTTAACAAAAATATATCTTAATACCGATAATATTATAAACAAGGAAATTTGTGAGTATGGAATTATGGATGGATCTTTCACGCAAATCTACTGAATGGATTTTTATGTACTTTACTGTAGTATATACATCAGAATAACACATAGACTATAATTTAAAAAGATATAAATTGGGTGAAATATAATGATAAATGTCAAGTAAGTGCGATGCAGACGAAGTTACGAGGGTCAGGTAACAGTATTTATTTTAGGTAATCAACAGCTTATACAATTTATAGACAATATATAGTATTACATAGTTAGTAAATCCAATAACAGATACCTCATGAATTTATGTTTAATATTAATATTAACAGTAATATATGTTATAAAAACAAATACAATGGAATCGAACCCACGATTGAAGTTGTGTCGTTACACTATTTGATTATAAATAGATATAATCCTTACTCAAAAAAACTGAATATAAACACTTTTGAATAGTTATCTACCGCAGATATTACGGAGAGTGTTCTGAGGAATTGTTCGGATTAATCCAGAAACTAAAACACCATCCTGATTAAGTGGATGAATGGTGGTCATCCACCGTGAGTTTTTCTAGATTTTTTTGCCACGCACAACCACATTGTGGCATCACCTCCCAGCAATGGTATTTCCGAACCGATACGATATTAAACCTTCAAGAAAAGTGACTTTTTCTAGACACTTTTTGCCACACACAACCACATTGTGGTATTACCTTCTAGCAATGGTATTTCCGAACCGATACGATATTAAACCTTCAAGAAAAGTGACTTTTTCTAGACACTTTTTGCCACACACAACCACATTGTGGCATCACCTCCCAGCAATGGTATTTCCGAACCGATACGATATTAAACCTTCAAGAAAAGTGACTTTTTCTAGAAACTTTTTGCCACACACAACCACATTGTGGCATCACCTCCCAGCAATGGTATTTCCGAACCGATACGATATTAAACCTTCAAGAAAAGTGACTTTTTCTAGAAACTTTTTGCCACACACAACCACATTGTGGTACTACCTTCCAGCAATGGTATTTCCGAACCGATACGATATTAAACCTTCAAGAAAAGTGACTTTTTCTAGACACTTTTTGCCACACACAACCACATTGTGGCATCACCTTCCAGCAATGGTATTTCCGAACCGATACGATATTAAAACCTT